GTCATAATAAAACAAAGTACCGAATAACAATAAATAGATCCACACCATGACCGTTTCATTCATGGAAAATCTGATTATTTATTTTTTTCCCATTAGTTAGATGGAGTAATAATAATAACGCATTGGTATTTTTACATGATGGTGGTAATTTACTACGGTAGCCCCAGTAGCCCTGGGACAGACTGACAGAAACGAGGCCTGTCAACGGTAACACGCAGCTTAAACCCATCCAGCAAAAGGAGAACATTGTTATATTTAGTCAACAAATGAGCTCTGTGTCCGATGTGACACAGAAAGTAGCTCTCAATAAATTCACCTTTTTTGCCACAGTCTGCAAATTACTGCGTCGCTTGAATTCAAACCACATCCTCCTCTGACTACACCACTGCTTTCATTCTTGTTGACGCGCACAGTCACACTCAATCCGCTCAGCTTTGGTAATTGAAAACCAGTGTACATGTTATTATAAGAAGTATCCGTCCTTGCCGATGACAAGTGGCCACAATCCACAGATCCGAAATGAAACGCACACTGGATAAATGCAGGCGCACATGATTTACTCCGTGCCAAAGGATAAATATTCCAATTTAAATGCAACATCTTCAGGTGCTGGGGGGCCGTACATCAGCCAGACACCCGGGAGCGTTTCGGACTTGAGTTTTATAAATAACACGCCATGCCATTACTCCTCTTCAAATGGGCTTTTAAACCTTACTTGTCATAGCGCGTCCTGGTGTAATGTTTTTATTTGCTAAAGCCGGTGGTATTCTTGCCCCGTGCTGTAATTGCTTCTTCTGCGTGCCTCATCAAGCTGACTGATTCGGGGCCGCGGACACTTTCTCAGCGCCAGATCCACCGTTCAATCCGACTTCACTGCAAAGTTTTACTGTTCGCGGGTGGTAATTTTTACAGCACACAGAATATTTGTTCCGAGGGATCGCTCATCTACTTTTATGGAATATGTTTGATGACACAGGATATGGCATTGCAATTAAAAGCAATTCATACCCGTATGCGCATAATGACAACATTATTGCATTGTGCTGATTAGGCATGTAGGGGCGACAGTAGCTCAGTTGGTAGAGCACTGGCCTTCAGGCCTGAAGGTCGTGGGTTCAATTCCCACCTCCACACCTTCTCCACCTACTCCCACTAATGACTGCTGCCGTTGTGTCCTTGGGCAAGACACTTAACCCCACTCTGCCCAAAGCCCCCACTGAAAGATCAAGGCTATGCTCACACTCAGAGAGCAGCCGTCCTCCTGTGGACTCACCACCTGCAGAGGGTCAGTGAGGGGCTGGTGCTATGAGACTTGGGTGGCATCTCTCATTGCCACCCCCCTGACCCAGAAATGGATTAAAGGGTAGAAAATGGATGGATGGATGGATGATTAGGCATATTGAGAAGTTATAGTGTGATGTGTGACACTAAGCATCGGCTTGTAAACAGGACTTGGCAATGTGCGATTTAAATTGAAACTAATGTTGCTTTTCAAGTTAAAAGTTAAAAAGTGAAACTTTTTAAAGATAAGCATTGGTTAGACCCGCCCATGCTCACCCCCGCAGCTTCGTGATTGGTCAAAATGAATTCAAGTCCTGCAACCTCTGTTCAATCTTACTGATCATAGCTATCCCAAAAGGGAGGGACAATTATAAATACATTATTTTAGAAAAAAAAAGGGACAGAGCATGCCATATGGAACCACATATGTCACTGTCACTTTAGCTGTGCAATAATAACTTTAATAATGTTGAAATGTACAATATAGAACCACAAGTGCACTTTATTGAGTCACTTTGTCCCATATCCTCGTGCTGCTAACATGTACAGATGTTTACATACAACTATATTCTACATATTACTTAGAATATAGAGTAATTTAAACTTGCTTCTTTACTATGCTTAACGTCAGAGATTGTGTACTTAAGTCTTGTCTCTTCATCATTTGTCTTCCATTCCATTTATCTTGTGTTGTGCGCGCCTCATTCCTACTGTCTGTAACTGGTGATGTGACATTTCCCCATTGTGGGACAAAATAAGGATTTCTTTCTGTACATATGAAACATTTTACTTTGAGATGAATTAGTCTTTTTATCAGAACAGCATTTCTGTGAGGCTCTAAGTGAGGCTGGACTGTGGAGCTGGAAGCACTCACAGTAAAGACACACATTAAAAGTAATAACATGCGGTTATTTTAGGTCAAGTTAGCTCTTGGCAGCTGCATAATCACTATTATAAACTACGTATGTGTTCACACTGCACACAATTTAAGAGCAAAGGTGGTTGGAGCGAGTCTTCTTACTCCAAGTACTCTGACTACGGACAAGTGTTGAAAATTACCATGGTCTAAATGCAATACGTCTGATCTGTCCAATTTCACTGTGTCCAGATCAAATAAATAAGTTCAGAGGACAAGCTTACAACCAGTGAGCTGTCCGGTCTGCTCTGGTCTGCTCTGGTCTGCTCTGGTCTGGTCTCCTCTGGTCTGCTCTGGTCTCCTCTGGTCTCCTCTTGTCTCCTGTTGTCTCCTCTGGTCTGCTTTGGTCTGCTTTGGTCTGTTCTGGTCTGCTCTGATCTGCTCTGGTCTCCTCTTGTCTCCTCTTTTCTCCTCTGGTTTGCTTTGGTCTCCTCTGGTCTGCTCTGGTCTCCTCTTGTCTCCTCTTGTCTCCTCTTGTCTCCTCTTGTCTCCTCTGGTCTCCTCTGGTCTGCTTTGGTCTGCTCTGGGCGGCACGGTGGCTGAGTGGATAGCACTCTCGCTTCTCAGCAAGAAGGACCTGGATTCGAATCCAGAACAGGGCCTTTCTGAGTGGAATTTGCATGTTCTCCCCGTGTCTGTGAAGATTTCTCCCGGATGCTCAGGTTTCCCCTACCACTAAAAACATGCACAATAAGTCTGCATGTAAATGAGAGAGTGAATGGATGGTGTTGATTGGGAGCTGATGCGCCAGTGTCTTCGGCCATTTGCTTCCGTCATCACCGTGTGTGGAGTGATCTGAACAATATCTGAACTCTGAACATTGTAAAGCGCTATGGGTGACCTTGGTCTGTAAAATGCGCTATGTAAATAAACATTACTTACTACTTTCTTACTTACTCTGGTCTCCTCTGGTCTCCTCTGGTCTCCTCTGGTTTGTTCTGGTCTCCTCTTGTCTAGTCTGGTCTCCTCTGGTCTCCCCGACCTCTTCTGGTCTCCTCTGGTCTCCTCTGGTCTGCTTTGGTCTGCAATGGTCTGCACTACTCTGCTCTAGTCTCCTCTGGTCTGCTCAGATTCCCAGATGCCTGCGTTAAAGTGGCAGTAGGTTTTGCAAATCTTGAAGTAAGAGATTCAGACAGTTTTATAAATGAGACCCTCGTCATACAGAAGTGGTCCTCCTTTTAAATCTCTTAACAGCACTTAAACTGTTATAGAGCAATTAAAAACACTTCCACAGTCTCACTATGAATCAGCTAAAAGTCTGCAGGGTCCAAAAGGTGAACCCCAATCCTGATGAGTGAAGTGAAACTGATGAGTCTTCATTTTGTTTCAAATCTCTGAAGCAAAACAAACGTGTCTTCTTCTTTCATCAGTCCTGTTTTCATGGTTCATTATCCGAAAATGCCACATTTGCATTTTCTGTTGACTTTCACAAAGAACTAGGGCATTATTTTTTTAAAACATTGATGGGCATCTGAAATTACTTTTCTTCTAAATTGCAGTTTGAAGAGCTGTGAGTTCTCATTACCCTGATGTCACTGGAGACAAGGAAATGTAAAACTGTGTATTATTAGTTCAACTGTGAAAGCGGATTCCATGTTCTTGATGAGACCAGGCCAATTATCAAAGCATATTTACAATATCCATGGGAAAAAAGCAGGAGGCTAGTCCCTGTGCTCCTCAGTCCCAGCAGCAGGCCAGTCCCTGTGCTCCTGAGAGTCCTCCTTGGTTCATATGGCACTAACATGTCACAGATGGACTTTGGTATGAGACTTGTACACAAGCAGAGCTGCTTTTTTGTTTAAGTTTATTCTCTCACCCGCATTAAACCAGTTCAGAGACTTGACAATCTATATTGGTTAAACCACACACCATTTGAAAAGTACAAGTCGTTTTAGCGGGATATGGGTCTGTACACCCAACACAAGTGCAAACAATATAAAAACTGTAATAAAAACCCTATTGCCGCTTCAGCCATCATCATCTCCATCAACGCAACACAGAGCAAAGTTGTCATTCCCTCATACTTTGTTCCATTATCTCCAAACGCCCGTGTCGTAGCCTATACTTTCCCCATTTCCTGTCCTGCCATCTGCTCTCCCCTCCGGCTCCACGTTGTGACCAGGAGAACACGATAAAGCTTCTGATAGCGATGATGGCAGTGATGGCGTCTGCGATATAGAACCTAGTGTTTTTTTTTATGCGAGCCGATAAAGAAAAGAAGCTCCGTGTGGCACAATGCAAGTGGGGCCATTTGTCAAAGAGGCAGGGACAGCTGTAATCATCCAGCCAGCATGTCCGGCACATCACTCTTCTAATCAGCTGTTTTCATCGAGGTTTAACGAGTGAAAAGAACGCATCTCAAGCAAAAGCAGGTGTATCTTTGATTCACTGATACAGTATTTATTAAGCGAATCTCATCCATTTGTGTTTAGAAAGAGAAAACACACTTCTGAAACTCATGGATGTTTTTGTTTATAAATGAAGCACACAGCTGTAATTTGATACTCTAATATGTTGGTGGTGAATTGATAAGTTTGTAAAGTCCTCCCAAGGCGACTGCTGTTGTAATTTAGGACAAATTTAAAAAAAGACTTGAATTGAGTACCTTTGTCTGAGCATTTCCCCATGGGGGTTATTTGAAGGCAATGCTTTCCTTTAGAAAACACCTCAGTGATGTCACAGCATGAGGATTTGTGATTAATAGATAGATAGATAAAATGAGTTTGAAAACATTTGGACAGAAGGGGAAGGGAGACCTGTTTGTGTAAAAAGCTCCTGATAGCTAAAAACAACTCCAGTGTTCATGAGGTAACGTTGCAAATTAGAGACACCTACAGGTAAAGCTAAGTAGAACAGGGCAGTAGTGATAAGTACTGTGATGGGAGACCTCTTGGAACACCAGGTGCCACTGTGGGTCGGCTTCGGCTTTAAAGTGGCAAACTGTTGCTTTTTCCTTCGGAAAGACACTTCACCCACACTGGCTTGTTTGAATCTGGTGTGAGAAGCACACCAGTGTAGCTGTGTCATGACATAGCTATTTGTGTTGTGGAAGCATAGGCCATATGACATATGCAAGTATTATTAAAGGTTCTTTCCATCTTTAGCAGTGCAGACAAATAAAAATATGAAACCTCCAACTGATAGCAAGAAACCTATAGTTATCAGTTGTAGAATAGTGGACACGAATCACCATGGATCATACTTGACATTGACTACAGAGCATTTTGCCATCAAGAAGGGTCATCCATGCAGTCAGTCTGATTTAGTCTCTTTATTCTTAGAGGAAGAGTTAAGTGTCAAAGAGGCTGGTGTCAATATTTATCCTAAATAGTAAATTATTATGCAATGTTTTTTTTTGGATCGCACAGTCCACGTTAATGAGCATTTCTTAAAATATTCCTTATGTTGGAACTCAATGGGTTGTTTCAGAGTGTTCTCTTGGTTGGACTTCCAGCAACCAAAAAGATGGTTGCAACAAGGTGGAATCCCCCTCACTCACTCTCGTTGACCGTGGATTAGGATTTTTGTGGACATTGTGTACTTGGAACTGTCTAAAGTGAGGGTTCATGGTACTATAGAGAACACTGGTGGAACAAGAAGTTAGACAATCTAAAGTCAAACTTCATTTTAATGTATGTTCTCTGTGTTACAGACTTTCATATTTGATTTTGTTTTATGCACTGGTCCTGTTTATGTGTTTATGTGTATGTGTGTTTTGTTTGCTTTGTTCCACTGAGTCCTGATTCTGTATGTCTGCATTTCTCACGCAAGCCACAAACAGGATAACAATGAAAATTGACATTATATCACATGCCAGTTGTCCTGCACAACTTTCCATGCTTTAAAATACACCGGTGTGTGAGGAATCATTTAGCCGCGAATAACATTTTTTTCTATTTAAAATGCTGAGAAAAAAAAGTTGATTTTCATAGCAGATTTGCTGTGGGGCAGCCACACCTCCAGAATGATGTTTAATGGATCCAATTTTACTGATAGCTGTTTTTTTTTTGAGGATGCACAACCTAATATCACATTAAGGTTCGTCTCTGTATCTCAGCCCCTCTGCGTCCCCATGGCAACACCATCCCGACGTCAGTGCGTCACTCTCGCTCTGCTTTCATTGTCCACAGAGCATAACATGCTGCTAACAGAACCGGACCTTCGCGGCTCAGACTAGTAAATAGGAACTATAAAGTGAGTGTTAAAGCATGCTTCGTTTTTATTCACAACAAGAGCCCGCACACACGTTGTGAGAAATAAGCACAATGACGGAAAGAGACAGGAGTTGCTTCGGTTAGCACCTAGCATGCTAACTTAGCATGAAGCTAACTGCATCTGCTTGCTAGCACGAAGTACACACTATTTAATCGTTTCTCTTCTGCTCTGGTGGTTGAACGTTATAAAACGCTAACCCTTGTGTTAAATTCGTTACTTTACTGTAAAGCATAAGCCCCGTATATTGTATTAGTCTTGAGAAACTGAGGAGGACGAGTATGAATGGGTACACACTGTTAGCGCTAGCTGTACTATAAGCTAAAATAAGATACATCTCAGCGTTCTTGACCAGTGTGTTCTGTGCAGTTCACTGGTGAATGTTTCTAAGCCCTATAACCAAAGTGTAGAATGGTGTGTTTGATTCACTAGCTCCGCGGGATCAGAGATGTGTTCTGCTGTGGGTGCTTTAATCAGGACCGATGTCAATGTGTAGTTTTATAGGTAATCTTTCTCCGAAGCACCCTGATATGCTTTTTGTGTGAAGTAGATTTTGATGACGGTTTGTCAATTCACTGTTTTCTTGAGAAGTTATTAATTCATTCTATTCTCATCCCAATACACGGTCTTTATCACGCCAATCTGCAAACTGCACATACATGTCATTACCATGTCAGTTGAGCTCAATAATCATTATCATTATTCCTATTACCATAAACTGTTTTGTATATGTGTTTTTGTCTCCTCAGTGGACCGGAGTCAGAAGAGGCGGCAGGTGAAGCCGCTGGCTGCATCACTTTTAGATGCCTTGGATTATGACAGTTCAGATGACAGTGACTTTGAAGTAGGAGATGCTTCAGGTGAGAACTTGTATCATTCAGATCATTGTTAAATTACGTCTGTCCATAAACTTCTATGCTGAATTTAATCTTTTTTTGTTACATCACCACAATTGTCATCAGAATACAGTCCCACCATATCCTGAAAAAAATATAGCATTTAATGTTTTTAATACAGTTAGTGCTATTTGACCAGCCATCATTTTAATAATAACAATATCAATCAATCAACTACACAAGACAACACAAAGCGCCTTACAACCCAAATCACATCAAACATAAATCGTAAACATTAAAAGCTACATAAACATTAAATACAATAAAAATCCCACTGGGCAATAGTAACATCTGTCCTTTGCAGTGTCACGGGAAGGAGTAATGTTCACATCATGAGTTTTTATTTTTATTGTACCTTTTGTGGTAGATGCATGTTTAGTTTTATAAGTACACGTCTATACTAATACTTTTATTGGTAGGTTGGTCACGGCTCATCAGATGCTGTAAAATTAGATCTTGATCAATTTATAACTTCTTTCAATTATAAATGTTAATGCTGTAGCTGTGTGGCTGTTGTGCTTTCTAGGCTCTGATGGGACGGGTAATGGCAGTGACGAGGAGGGCTCTAAAGCCAGTGTGGCAGGGTCAGAGAGCGAGTCGGACAACGCGGGCTCTGCAGATGACGCCATTGACGTAGAAGAGGCCAAAGAGCTGGAAGCAGAGCAGAACCTGTCTGAGGAGGAAGACAAGAGCAAGCAGGCCTCGGACACGTCCAAAGAATCCTCCGAAAGTCCCACCAAAGAGGGAGCTGCAGTCACTCCTACCAAGAGCCGCCGCAAAGGCAAGAAGACCCCAGAGCCTGAGGCAGCAGCCCCCAGCACTGAGGCCTCCTCTGGGGCTGCAGCGGAGTCTGGGGCTGGTAGCACGACCGATGAGTCACAGGTAGCGTACAATATAGGAACAAGTTGAGCTGCACTACTAGGTGAATAGTGAATCAAATAATTGTTATTTATCAATTACTGGTCTGTAAACATTGTCAAGTACTTGGTTCTATGACTCAGACAACGCAGGACTTACATGGACACTTTAGTTATAGTTGTTTTTTTAGATTAATCTTATTAATAAATGAAGATTAATTAATAATCCTTAGCCCCATTGGAGGTGACTATATGAAAAATATGTCTTGAAATAAGTTCAAAGATATTTATATTCTGATCACATTCCACTTTCCTCCTCAGTCAGAGCCGAAGAAATGGAACTTTCGCCGCAACCGCCCACTGCTGGACTTCACCACCATGGATGAGCTAAACGAGATGGACGACTACGACAGCGAGGATGACAACGACTGGAGGCCGACGGCTGGCAAGAAGAAGGGCAAAGGCGGAGCCAGCAAGGGGGCAGGCGAGGAGGAGGGGGGAGGGGCTAGTGACGACGACGACGACGATGATGACCGCGACGACGATGAAGACAACGACGAGGATGATGACGAGGATGATGATGAGGAGGAGGAGGAGGATGAAGACGACAAGGAGGATGGAGAGGACAACAACAGCAGCAGCGACAGCGACAAGAAGCCCAAGAAGAAGAGCAAGAGCAGCAAGAGCGCCACGGCCCCGGACGAGGAGCTCACCAACGACAGCATGTCCCAAGGAAAGGGCAACGAGGTGAGGCTGCGCTTTGTGCTGCACCTTCTCGTTATTAGTGACACACACGATACCACTCTGCCTCGCTAACCCAAAGCAGCCATTGAGATTGTAAACACAAGTCCACAGTGTCATACAGCCAACTTCAACTCCGCCTATATTGGTAATATACCTTGTTGCAAAGCTCACAATATCTTGAATCCAGTCTTTGATTTTGTTTGACCACATTCTTCGACCCGAAATGTTGAAAGAGCCACATCGGAACAACATCACAAAAACACAAATCTGTCTGGAGTCGTGAAGTCTTACACAAGCCTCATAATGAAGGCAACATGCATTGCATCTAAAGAAGCTTTATTTTCCTAGTCTCAAAATGATAAGTAGCATATACAAAGCATGTGACTGATCTGCTGTACGATGGTGCTCTAAGTTTAACTTCCATTATAATATTAATGTAATTACGTTTCATTGCATTGAGTAAAAGTAAGATTTGGAAAAATAACATAATATGCTACATACACATAACACAAGGTTTCATGATAAAAAAAAAACAAAAAACATTGTAATCCAGTTTGTGCATTGACTCAATACTTGTTTTTCTGGTCCACACATACAAAGTAATTTTCACTTTGTTATCTTTGCTAATGTGAAGCATTGTCGAGTATTTTAATCCAGCAATGAGCATTTTAATCCTGCACTGGCTAAGTGCTTTGCCGCAAACTGGAGTATCTCTCAATGTGCATCCAGGTGTATATTAATACTGTTATATGCTTTATTTGTATTTAGTTGATTGGAGGATGGACTGAAACAAAAAATATAGACAAACGGTAGCACACATGTCCAATGCAGTTTGGCCTCTTCACCTGCTCTTAAAATGGTAGTTGTTTGAGCTGTTCTCTGGAGAAATCAAACTCTAATTGAACAACAGTTATAGTTAAATCTATCCTGAGTGCTGGGTATAGGATTTGGAACACTGCTGATCTATTGTCAAAGTGATTATGGGAAATCTTTTGACCGAAGCCGCTGCAGATGAATGGCGTATTGTACAGCTGGCTGGCTACTTTACAAAGCAAAGACACAAAGAGCTTCAGATGGTATCAGAGCCCTTCCAGGTTAATACTGCTGTCTTTGTATCATTGTGCGATGGATTAGGAGCGTGCCAGGCATCCAGGCGCAGACAGTGGCTCAGTGATAAACGTGTGTGTGTGTGTGTGTGTGTGTGTGTGTGTGTGGTTTCAGGATGGCCTCCTGGAGCGGCCCCTGAGTTGGAGCGCACAGCACATCCTCATCTGCAGCGTGTGTTTGGGAGACAACAGCGAAGACGCAGACGAGATCATCCAATGTGACAACTGCGGGGTGACCGTCCACGAAGGTACGGCCACACTGCGCCAACACACACACAACCACAGCCGCAGCTAATGTCTCACAGTGCACAGCTTGACATCCAGTGATCAAAACAGTGGTTCTTATGGTGGACAGTGGAATTATTTCACAATGTAGCATACATAAAACGTGAACAGTGCTCCTTCAAATCTTGTATAACGTGACCATGCTTTAAATTTTTCCACAACTTCCTTGGACTTTTTGGGGATGTTTAGTGACCGATATACACACATATCTTTAGTCAAATCCAGTAAAACGGTCCCATTTATGTAGCCCTTTTTGAAGACACTCAAAGTGTTTGACATCAAGTTATCAGTCACCCACACACATTCATACACCAGTATACGCAGACAGTGGGGGCGAGGCAGGTTAAGTTTCTTGCCCATGGATGCACAGCAGCAATCACCAATCAGAGCTGGTTTCACACTCTCCAACCTGTGGGTCAGTCGATCTGGCCGCTCAACCAATGATGTTTATGTTGGAAGCAAGATTTGAACCATCAACCTTCAGCTCAGCAAAAACGCTCTACTGAGCTTCTTATTTTCATGATTCATTATTTTGATCTCAAGTCACAGTTGTCTGTTACTTTGTTGTCTTTCCAAATACAAAATGCTTTCTTTGTTTGTGGTCATAAACATTGAAAATATGCTTTTAGGGAGCTACAGAATTCAGACAGTGACGTCAACAGCAGCTTTTGTCTGTTCTGAGGGTCTGAATTATAATGATTGTGCCTAATAACGTAAAAAACAAAATGGCTCTTAAAGGTTCCATATTTTGCGCTTCTTCCATTTTTCACAGTTCATCCTAAGCACCTGTGTGATAATATTTTGGGTGATAAAGAATGCTAAGAGCACTTCTGTTCAATATACTGCAGAAATACAGTGTAACTTTACTACAAGAAATAAACTTCGCACATTTTGTCCTCCCCTCTTTCGGTGTCCCCTTAAATAAATTCCTCTTGTTTGCTTTCATCGGACATCAATTTATAGTGCCCCGCCACAAATCAGTGTCTGAAGGCGTGCATGTCGGCTACAGAAAATAGTGCTATTGATTTCTTGTAGAATGTGGTGTGTAGCATTATTCCTCCAAAAGTGTGAGAGGTTAAAGAGAGAGAAAAGTTCATGTTTCAGCTTATCCAGCCAAGTGCTGTCAGGCGGGAGCGAAATCAATGCCCCTGGAAGTGTGCGCCTCTCTCACAGGCTGCTGCGCCAAGTTCCAGCTGACCATGCACACTGGATCAATGTGACAACACACATTCTCACTTTTTTTAATTCAACCAGAGAGCAGGGCATACCAAAGCACTCGCTTGTGAGACCAAGGACTGGCCAACACTTATCACTAGGGATCAGGCTTCTGCCCTGAGTCAAGGATGTCACCTTTTTATTCACCTTTTACAGTTTTGCATGGAAAATCTTTTGCTGAGGGATTCCCTCCATCGCTCCACTTTCCCCACAACCCATAACGTGCGTCGTGCATCCACTTTAAAATCTGCCATCTACGGTACCATGGACTTATGTCTGCGTATGTCTCCTCCAGGTGCTCCCATATCTTATATCACTAAAAAAATAGGGCTGGGACTCGACTAAAAAAAATATTTTTGATTCCTTAGAGGCTTTGTAATAAATTCATTTGAATCGCATTTTAAATATTTGACCTGAGAACAGTGAAGTATTTTCTTTCACATGGATATTTAGTATACCATTGAGTAAAGACTGAATACAGACTTAAGCAACAAATGTTTTTTTTTTATCCAACCAAGTCCAACAGACCAGTGGAACTTTTCACAGCAATATCATATTTAGAAACATAATACTTTTTCAGAAGTGGACTTAATGGTCCTTAAACCAGTCACCTGGTGGAGTGTGGCTTGGATGTGAGTCTTTGTACCCAGTCTAACGTCCACATTAGCTGCTCTATGTTTAGGATTGCGGTGATACTCAATGTTATGCAAACATAACCATGCTCTTATCAACGCTTCCATCAGTTTGTTTTTCTATAACAGCATTTCCCATCCTCAAGCGAACCACTGCGGTCCGCTTATTCCTTCATGTTTACTGTGGTTTGTTGTTGTCCGAAGCATGTGTGGCAGTATAATTGGTCCGGCGAAATTCATCCCAATGACAAACGTTCCACGATGCAAAATGCGTTAAAATGGGTCCCAAAAAATTACTTGTTATTTTTGTGTAATGAATGAATCTTAATTAACGTCTTAAAGTTCCGGCCCTACACAAACCATACAAAACAATAGATACAATAGTTCAGGGTGAATAAGTGTGGGTTTGTGTGTGTGAGAAGACTGATGTAAACTACTAAATGAGACAATCGGGAGTGGCGCTGGTCTCTTCATGCAAACGCTACCGTCCACCTAAAGCTGAATTGGGGGACAGAAGAATGAAATGAGAGAATGAAAGAAGAAAGAATGGGTCAAATGCAAGCAATGCTGGTCTTGCTCCACCCAGAGGCTACACCACCTCTACTGCTGTGACCTAAAGTGCTGGTGCATTTTTAATACTACTACTAGAGCCCTGCACTTGACGGGCCGATGAAAGTATAATGACCTCGGACACGGGCCGGGCTCGGGCGCGCGCACTTTCAGAGCGGCAGATCATATTTACGAACGCACCCACTGAATATAGCGTTCTATCACGCTGTAGTGTTTGTTGTTCTGTGTAGTGTTTTAATTGACGATGCATACCGTTACTTACAAGTGTGTTGCGGCATCTGGGCATCATACAGCCGTTCACTCTGCACACACAGAACTCATTGCAACAGATCACTACCATGTATAACTCCGCCCTCTAGCTAAGCCTGTGTTCATATCAGTGCATGGCACTATATACTACGCTAAAACATTGTTATGAGAGGTAAAAAAATAAAAATAAACGTCTGGCTTGATGCGGGTTTCGGGCTTGAAAATTCAGAAACCATATCGGGCCAGGGCCGGGCTCGGGCCCAGATAATAGGCCCGTGCAGGGCTCTAACTACTACTATTGTTAGCTACTTTTAAAATTATCTGTTTGTTTGTTTTGTTTGGATGGATGGATGTGTTTCTGCTGCTACTGGACACTTGCATTTCTCCTACGGGGATCAATAAAGTATCTATATACAGCACAGTACTGCCTTCAGTTGAAGGAGCTGATAAGACTTTTCTCACTGCTTCAGTCATTTGTACAGCGCTTAATGTGGCAGAGGAAGAAGTCATGGTTTTGAAAAGGATTATTGCATTCCTTCTGAACGATCTGAAAGTAAGGGTAACAAAACATAGAGCTTTTAAATTGGTTATTAAACAATCAACTAAATCGATACAATAATATGTTATATATGTATAATCAGGCGTGCACATAACTGGTACGCATGCACAACAAAAATCAGAAATGCGTTTTATGAGTTGAGTTGGATAGACCAGTCCTTCTCAAATAGTGGGGCGCCCCTTTAGGGAGGCGTGGTGCAATGCCAGGGGGAGCGCGCGTGACCGTGGGGCACTTGCGCCGTGCGCAGCCGTAACATGGTCATAATGTTCCCAGCGCGGATCATACACGCTCACAGGACAATTTTCTGTTTTTGCAATTGCGTGTCTTTGCGTAACCTGTGCACTCAATGAATACACCGCTCTTGATTAAGAACCACGCGACAAATGGGGTGAGAACCAAACACAATCTCCTGGTGCTCATTCGAGTACCTCACTGAAAAACGTATGTGCACCCCTGTGTATAAGGTAATTTTTCCGATACATTTTTTTCTTATCACAAATTTTAGAATCTTTGAAAGTGCAGTCAAACAAAGAACAATAATTAGACCCTACAAAATACCTAGTAGTCTAATAGAAATCATTAAATTGAAAAGAAACATAATTGATGAATAAAAATATGTTCAATACATCATGAAACTAGGTGATGTTTTGCACATATTTGCATGCACCTGCATATTTACATATTTAACAATAGACTAAAGTGTAAAACAACACATGCGCAAAAAACATTCAACTTTCAGCTTTTGAATCTCATCAATGTAATGAGCCTTTTAAGCCCATTTCAAATTCTGTCAATAGAAGATCATTTGGTGAATGAACACAGACACAGATCACTTGCCTAACTGCATCTATTGAATGTTTTTGCTCTGAGTGTGAAGAGGTGTGTAAGCAGCCCTCATCACTGCTCCCTGTGGACTCTCAGCAGACATTAGAGCAGCTCTCCTGTTTATCCTGTTACTTTGGCTGATATTTAGTTCCCCAGAGAGGTGTCTAATCTGCCTGCGGAGACCCACAGGGGGCTAGAGGAAGGAGAGGAGAGGGAAAGTGCCCCAGGTAGGTTTTATCTGCCTCTCCAAGGACAAGACAGCCCCTTTTATTCTGAGCTGTAAAATATGAATTTAATTCCAGCCATAATTTGTGTGTTTTGTATACTTTTCTCCAAATGGAAAGATTTATGATAGTATTAGAGGTCTAATTCTGAAGCGCAGCTCTTTTTGTGCTGATGGACTATCTTTGGGCAGATTTACAGTGGAACATCACGCCAAGGAATAAAACATGAAGACGACGTGAATGGCCTTTGAGAAATTCTAGACTTTTACAGCTATACTTTTTATGATTTGATCGCTTCCTACTTTTTATTAAATGCAGTAATTGATTTTCCACTATAGATTCTAAAGTCCTAAAAGGTCACAAAGCAATTGAATATACGATGAAACATTGATCCAGCTTTTTATTTCTAATGCCACTATTCTCTGGCACTAAGTATCTGATGAAACCAGGGACTGAAATTAGCTTCGAATTTTCCACAATTTACAGATTACTTTTTCCTATTCTTGGGTTTCAATAAACTGGCCTCTAGGGGGCGAATGAGCAGAGATGGGACAACTCAGTTTGACTTCCATTGAAAACCATGAAAATCTAGTCTGTTTTTGAGTAAAAAGGCTCTCATTTTGTGGGGTGTACGGTTGTTGTAACAGTCTTTATCGGGAGGGGGACACTCAATTCTAAGGGAATACTAA